CATTTTGTGCATTGCTTTTGTTGAATGTTTTGTATTTTAAATTTGGAATTAATTTGTGCTAGATCATGCTATGTTCGGTTTTAAGACTCACCTTAGGAAATTTATGATACGAAGTATTGAATAGTAAGTGATTTGGGATATGATTTGGGCCTTCTTTGAACCGTTTGAGCCTTTCAAGCCGACCTTTTTATCGAAATTCCTTAGAACCTTGATTTGAGCCTCGGAGAAAAGGTGTTCTTTCTTTTAGCCAATGTGTAAGGTAGAATAGGTGGAGATTCTTGAAAAATTACCCCTTGGAGTTCGGTCGAAAATTTTTATAAGGTCCTTCTTCTTCTTCGAAAAAAAAAAAAAGAAAAAAAAAAAAGAAATAAAAAGAAGACAAATATCTATGCTTCTATATATATATATAAAAAAAAAAAAGAAAAAAAAAAAAAAAAAGAGAAAAAGAGAAGAAGAAGAGACTAGAAGGGAGAAATAAGGACTAGTTGTTGAATTATTCTTGAAAACTCGACCCATTGTCTCAAAAGCAAAAGTGGAGACTTTTGAACTTTTGAGAATCGAGTTTATTAAAGTCCGTAGAGGTGAATTCATTGTTTCAAACGCCTATCTTTCAAATTTTGGCGTAATCACCTAAATTCAAGAAGAATAGCCACACATACCCATATTTCCTACCTCAAACCAAAGAGCCTAACAATTGAAAGCCACAAAGCCCCAATGATCCCAATAGCTTAATGTTCGATATTAGTAGAGTAGAATAATTTGGTGAGTATATGGAGTCAAGCATATGCATGTAAGTATAAATTCTTTCTATCTTTAATTTGCAAATATTGGATGCTTGAACCAATTGTATGAATTGTGGTTTTTGGTAATGGTGAGTGACTAAGTGTTGTTGAATTTTGAGCTTGCGAATGCCTAAGAATTATCATTATAATTACAAAGTCTGAGAACGTGAAGTTGATCATTGATCTATGTGATGAGATGTAATAGTTGAGTTATTTGCTTATTGATAGATTTTGCTTGAGGACAAACAAAAGTTCAAGTTTGGGGGTGTGTTAAGTGTATATTTTTACACTTTATCGTATCTTTTTATTTGAGCTTTTGGTGTGTTTTAATGATAATTGGTGCTTAAAAAGTTGATTTATTGTATTTTAGGTACAAATTGAAGAATTGGAAAAGTATGGGGTCAAAACTGCAAATTTGGAGAAAATATGGGCCAAAAGTGAAAAAAACGAAATCTGGAGATTTAAAGCTCGGACGGCCGTCCGAGTTTTAGTTCAAATTATGGGACGGCCGTCCGAGACCCCGAAACAGCGCAGTAAAGGGATTTTAATTGCACAAGGAAACTGCCTTCTTCCCCAAGTTCTTCACCCTATATAAGACCAATCCAAGCACACAATTGAGGATCTTTTTACACAATTTGGAGAGCAACAAACCAATAACGAAGACGAAGAATTCGAAGACTCTAAGCATAGATTTATCGTCTATGATTTATTTTATTTGCGTTTTTCCTTTAATCATGAGTAGCTAAATTACTTGTTTCTAGGATTTTATTTGGAACCCTATGTGGGATTTATGAACCCAATTCTATGATTTTATGCAAGTTTTAATTCCGGATTATTTCTTCTACTTGTTTTATTAAGTGCATGAACTTGATCACCTTATGTGCTTTTATGTTATTGTTAATCGCATGAATCGGAAGATCGGGTTAATAATTAGAACTGTGGTAGAAGAGCCTTTGTGGTATTAACATAGGAATATAGTTAATCTCTTAGGTAGCCATTATTGAGATTTGTGTTTAATGCTGTGTTCTAGAATTAATTGCATAGGAATATAGTAATTGAATCAAGAGTATTAGAATCGTAATACACGCGGAAGCGGGTTATGATTATTTTAGCATCTCAGGTTAATAATCCGGGTTAATTGCTTGCATAATTGAAGGAATTGGGGGAGTAATAATCACATAGGGGGAAGAATAAAATCCTAGGCTTGTTTACTCTGATTAAACCTTCGTTTTTTATTGCTTTCGTGTTCTTGTCTTTTTAATTTGCTTTTTAATTTAGTTTAATTTACTTAATTCTCTCTAAAATTCGACTGTGTAGGGTGGACTTGATAATAATTGGTAGAATTTAGCGTCTAGGATTAGTAATTAAATATTTCCTGTGGGTTCGATATCCGGACTTTTAGTCCACTATATTACTTGTACGATACGTGCACTTGCGTGTAGGTTTTCGACCAACAAGTTTTTGGAAGCGTAGTTCATTACGGGGGCTTTCGTAGTTCCGTTGATTCTCATTAGTTCTCCGGCAGATTTTTGATAGTATCCCTTCATTTTCCGACAATCTATATCTATATCTATCTATACTACTTATAAAAGTATGAATCTTAGGTGGTTTCTTCCATTTTTTGTATTGACAAAAATATCCTTGAATAAGTATGATTTGAAGGACAATTAAGTAATATAGGTTGAGAATAATTAATTCATATATAATTAATTGAAAATATATCAAGTTTAAATATGATAATTTAATGTTCATCACAAAACATATTTTTTTACCTACATGACCTTTCATATGTTTGGTCTACTTCTTTTTTTCATATGGAATAAGTCACGTAATTTATAACAAAAGTTTCATAATAGAAGATGGAGTTTCACGTATTTCAATTTGTTTTTTCTTTTTTCTTTTTTTTTTTTTTTGACTTATTAACGGATTTGATAAAAATTTCAAGAACGAGGATGGGTAATCCATCGGTTACAAATGGGATAATTACAGTTTTCGTCCCCTAAGTTTGCACGTTTTTCACTTTTGGTCCCTTATTTACTGGCGTCAACAAAATACACTCTAATTTTATCAAATGCTAACACATTGGTTCCCTCTGCACGTTTGATCGTCAAGAAGCAACAGTCAACGGTTGAATTAGAGCTGAATTTGTGATTTTTCTGTCAGGAAATTGCAGAAGACCCTGTATTATTTTAAAACTTTTTAAAACCCCTAAAATTTCATCAAACCTCAGTTTCACCAATAAACCGATTTTAAACAGGTCCGTCCGTCTGTTTGACCGTCAAGAAGCAACGGTCAACAGTTGAATTAGGGTTGGATTTGGGAATTTCGTGTGAGGAAATTGCAATAAGACCCCTCTATTATTTTAAACTTTCTAAAAACCCCTAAAATTTCATTCTGTCTAATTTAACTCCAATTTCACCAATTGACCAATTTTTACATCCGCTGATTTTTTTTGAATTTTTTTTTCCGATGTTGACTTTATTTTTAACTAGGTTGACTTTTTTCGATTGATTTCTTTTTTTGCTGCCATCGGCCGATGTAAATTCCATGTTAATTGCGTTGACTTTTTTTTTTTGTTTTTTATTTAAATTGTTGAGTAGTGGGAAAATATAATAAAAAAAAAATCAAACCAATAACGTCAGGAAAAATAATATCATTAATAAAGGCAAAATAATATCATTAAAAAAGTCAAAATAAAATAAAAAGGGAAATATCAACGCCACTAAACGATGGGAACAAATTTAAGAAGGAAAAAAATATCAGCGGCCGGTGTTTGTAAGAATTCGTGTGTAGGCGGTTCCAAGAAGAAAAAAATGAGAGGAAAAACTAGGGATTTGTAAGAATTATTTTAAATTGTATTTTGGTCCAAAAATTTTAGATTAAAACTTTGTTAGAAGTTTGAAATTTTAATAATACGATATTAATATAGTAGTATTATTGTGTTATATAGTAATAATACTGTGTTGATCGGAAAAAAAAAATCAACGAAAAAAGTAAAAAAAAAATCAAGAAAAAGAAAATGTGAATGTTGTTAATCGGCAATCCAATGTCGATGAACGACGAAAAAAAAAATATTCAAAAAAAACAAGTTAACGCCGAAAATAAAAATAAAAAATCAAAGGCGGTCAACGGTGGCAGTTGTAAAAATCGGTGTCATTACCGGTGTCGATCCACACATTCACTAAATCCCGGTTTATGAAGAAGCTTCTAGACTTCCATTTTCACCGTCCATATTGGGTAGCCAATCTTGTCCGTCCCTCACGTCCCTTAAATAATTTACCCTATACATAATTTGACTTCAGTTGCTCTGTACTTCTTCTCCATGTACCATCCGTTCTTCTGCTTTCTCTCTTCTTGTCTTCTTTAGGAAATTTTAGAGTCAAACGCCACCAACTATGGCAGACTTTGACTATAAGACGGTTTATTCGCCGATGACCGTTGTATCTCAGGGTATAAATGCCTTTTGTAGAGACGGAGAGAGGGTAACATATAAATTCATGCTTTTCCTTCATTTTTAGTCTTCATTCTTCTGTGGGTGAGAGATATTGTCTTAGTGATGGGTAAAACGAGAGTTCTGAGTGTGCTCGAGAGAATTGTTTTTAAGTTTTGGACTGGTGAGTTAGATTTCGAGATTCTGGGTTGGTTCGAGGGTTTTATAACTTTATGGGTTGAGTGTGATGAATTAAGTTTCAAGTTGAGTGCTTGACACCAATTGGAGTCACCGTCAATTGAATTTCTAGACGTGAATTTGATAATTGTGGATTGAGCCGTTGATGTCCAAATACAACTCCATGTCTAGGAGTTATTACTGGTTCGAACGAGTACCTAACAAGTTTTGGTTTCAGTTTCCGTTCGATCTCAGTTTCAAATTTTGGATATGGTCGAAAAATGAAGGCTAAAGAAATTTATTATTAACAAAACACAAATACAAATAAAGTGTTAATTGATCAGCAAATAAAGTATGAATATAATTAAGTATTTCATTATTAAATAAAATTAGACTTTATGTACACCGTATTAACAAAAATTAACAATGTAACAAGATATTTCTACATTCCATAAATTTAATAATATTATTTTGGTAAAATAGAGTAAGCACGATACATAACTAAGAAATACATAGAAAAAATCACACGACACGTGCGTGCACTTGCCTAGTGTATAATAAATACCGCATTGAATATGATGCAATAGAAACGATAAGTTTAGAAAACTTACTTGGACGTATTTCGAAGAAACCATAGCGAAAATCCCGACAAATAGAACTTGCCACGTAACCGAGGCCATAATGCCGATCGTTGCCAGCATCTCGGTCGAGGCAGCCTATCACAAACGAAAACCCGATCGGGATGTCGAAATCTAGCACGCTTAGATTAGACGAAGCCTGAACGAGAAAATTAAAACAAGAATGTCATCGAAACCACAGACTTTTAAACATGCGGCGAGTTAAATCAAGAATTTTAATCTTCCTCTGTCAACTGAGTCTGACGAGGGTTCGTTAAATTTTCTTCGTCTCTTTCTTCTTCTTCTTTAGTACTACGAAGTACGGTCGTCTTTATCGTTCTGCTCTATTATTTGATTCAAATTTCCGTTCCCGTTTGAGCACCGAGTTAATAAAACCCGAGAAGAAGGCTTTCGAAGCTCTCAGCCCTAAAAGAATCGCGAAAAGCACTCTGAAATATACGAACACAGCACTAAGTGGCGAAATTAGAGTGTAAACCCCGACGACGAAATTATCGTTCTGCTCTATTATTTGATTCAAATTTCCATTTCCGTTTGAGCCGGCGAAGCATGGAACGACCCTATGGTTGCTTTATGAGCAACCACGAGTTGCTCGAACGTTGTTCCTTCGATCATTAGCTCGTCGTAGTTTCCCGATTGAGTAACTCCTCCTCCTTCTACAACCTAAGACGACATCACAATATAAGTTTGAATCAAATTTTCTTCATAGTCGGGTTTCGATTTGATTCATTAATTACCAGAATGTTATCGACATTGTTTAGAAACTCCACTTGATGAGTGACGAGAATCAGTCTTCTTTGCTAGAGCATTCATTACACAATCCTGCAATCATAAAACCCTTGTAATAAAAAATAAAAATAAAAAATTCGACTTACACGAAAACGAATATAGACCGACAATATCATACGTTGAAAAGTGATGCCGCTGCATGCGTATCCACTGCACTAAAAGGATCGTCGAGAAGATATATATCCGCATCGTTGTACACTGCTCGAGCGAGCTGAATCCTCTGCTTCTGTCCGCCGCTCATATGAAGGCCTCGTTGTCCTATCTCAGTCAAATCGCCGTAGTCGAAGCTTTCGATATCTTTATCCAACGCGCACATTCTAATCGCTTCTTCGTATTTCGGTTCGTCCATCGCCTTTCCGATGAGCACGTTTTCACGAATAATCCCGCTTTGAATCCAAGAAGCTTGAGACACGTACGCGACAGATCCGACAACGCTAACCTGGACGAAACAAAATACTAAATATCAAATCAACATTAAAATTTTGGTTTTGGACTAATTAAGATTCAATAAACACTATAATGTAACACTTACAGTTCCGGATATTTTCTGTATTTCGCCGAGTATAGCATACAAAAGCGACGATTTCCCAGCGCCGACGAGCCCGCAAACTGCTATCTTCTGTCCCAGTTTCGCTTCCAACGTTACACCTCGTAGAGTTGGAGTTTCTGTCTCTTCATCCCAACTAAAACAACCATTTTGAATACGAACGACGTGTTCTAAATTTTGCCGTCGGAGCTATTATTACCGAATCTTCTTGCTTGAGTTCGTCTTCGAGCAAAAACAAACTAATCCTGTTGAACGAAACCTTAACCGGAATAAAAGACGAAAGAGCTTCGGGTAAGAATCTGACAGGCTCGGACATGCTCCTTAGTGCAGCCAACACCGTGAAAATCGAACAACCGAAGCCAAGAAAATTTGGACAACCGAAGCCCAACCGACATGAAACCACATCGGAAAATCTCCCATTCGATAAGCATCGACTGATATATAGTTCACTAAATATCAATCAGGTGCCATATAATCACCCAAATATCATAATTTACCACATATTTATAACTTGTGCAATAATCCCACAATTCACACACATATACACATACAGCCACACACTGCACACACACACACACACTTACACATGCAGCCAAACACATTAACAAACCACCATTTAATACACAAACCATGCTTGTAAAGCAAGGATATTTTTTTATCCATTATTTAATGAACTTATTACCACTTCTAGGCAATAAACTCATTTCAAACTATTTCCAGCAGCAATTAAACACATCCTTGCAACAATTTAAGGCACAAAACCCCAAGTTTCATCACTCAAAATCAATTATTCTAAAACAAGGAAAGGCAAAATGAGTTTTTTAGTCCTGTAAGTTTGCTAGTTGAGAGTTTTAGTCCACTATGTTTCAAAATCAGAATTTTAGTCCTGTAAGTTACAAAAGTTGAGAATTTTGGTCCTATGACCTGCTGTAACAGGTAATGTGATGGTTGGTTGAATGAGTTGGTATTTAAAATATAAAAATAAATAGATTAAAAATAAATTAGGTGATGTGACTAATGAGTTGGATTGTTTTGGAGAAAAAATTAATCTTCAATGTCAAATTCACCAAAATAATGAGGAAATTTTAACATATTAAATATCAATTTATATATTTAATTTTTTTTGTTATATTTGCAATAAAGAACCAAAATAAACCCATTGAATAAAATCTACAACTATATTTTTATGAAGGAAATAAGACTTACTAATGTTTAATTAATATTTCTTAGTTGATAAAAATAATAATTAAATTCATATTTATCTAAATATTTCATTTTTTTTACAAATCTATACTTAGTGATTACAATGAAACTGAATCAACAATCAAATTCAACATAAAACCGGAAGAAAAAACATTTTATTAAACCTTGTTGTAAAGTTAAATGACATGCACAATCATAATTAGTATAAGAAATCAAATACACATTTAAGAATTAACCAAAAAAATATATATAAAACTCTATTAAATTAAATGTATCAAAAAAGTATTCTAGAGCCTCCAAACATAAAATACATTATCAAACCAAGAGTAACAAATATCCATAACGAACAATAAAATATAGTTAACTACTATTTTTATCAACTGAAAACTATGAAATATTAATTAAAAAACAGTTACTACAAAAATGCTTAATTCATTCATCAAATAAAAATAATTTGATGGTATATTTTATTTCCCTCCAAAATTGTCCAACTCATTAGCCACACCTGATTTATTTTTAATCTATTTATTTTTATATTTTAAATGCCAACTCATTCAACCAGCCATCACATTACCTGTTATAGCAGGTCATAGGACCAAAATTCTCAACTTTTGTAACTTACATGACTAAAATTCTGATTTTGAAACATAGTGGACTAAAACTCTCTAAGGGCATCTCCAATCATTCACAATTTTACATGATATCAGCTAAAAAAAGAAGGTCATAGCATTTTATAAGCAAAAAACCCGCTCCAACGGGACATGTATAATTTAGCTAGCAAGCTAAATTCTGATTTACAGCTACTATGTATAGCTGGTGAGTATTCACAAATACTAAACAAGAAAATATTAAAATAATGGCCACTAAGTTTTACAGTTCAAGTTCTTTCCCTTTTTTATATGATAAAATACTGACAGTACATATACATGACAATATAATAATTCAAAAAACAATATAATAATATAAAATTGTAAAATATACATGTTATGATTGGAATGAGATTGTAAAACACACATGGTATCAACACTATTGACTAGCTATAATAGATATACCAACTCACATTTTAGCTATTACTTTTGGAGATGCTCTAACTAGCAAACTTACAGGACTAAAAAACTCATTTTGCCAATAAGGAAATTAAAACACCAAACATCATAAATGGCATGCATAATGGCAAAAATTCGAAATAATAGTAAACCATTTCAAAAAATTCCCAAATTAAATCCTAGAGTTCCTACTGACCAAGGTTTGAATTTCTGAAATTATTTTTTAAATTCCATAAAGTTTCAAAATTTGTTTTGAAATTAAAAGCTAGACAATCCTGTTTTTCTTCTAAAAATCCAAATTCCAGTATAACCGTAAATAAGCTTTGAATCCTTTATAAAGAAAAAATTTCTTCTCATTTAACACTTGCTGGACAACAGATTCCCAAATTTAGAAGTGACGATTTTTTGGAAATTACAATTTTGACCCAAAAGTTTCAAGATTCACACATCCAACCACACTACAAGTTCAAAATCTGATTTTTCATGTAAATCATCTAACAATCTGAAATTTTATTTTAATATTTGATGAAAACAAAGTTAAAAAATTACTTGAGGCTGAAATTTCGAAAATTATAGGGGATGTTTGGTTTTATTTCCAAAACCAATTTCCAGTTCTATACTATTCATAAAACCGAGATCATGTTTGTTTCACAATTTTATCCAAAAAATCCCATTTTTTCCTATCAAATTTCTATTGAAAATACACTATTCATACTTTTTTCAATTTTCAAACCTACTAAAACCTACTACTAACCTATATATTTTATTCCATCAACTCATTTCTCTCTCCTCATTAATATTCACACTCTCTCTCCTCTCATTTCTCTCTCCTCATTAATATCTACACTCTCTTTCCTCTCAATTTACTACTACTAAAAATAATAATAATAATAATAATAATAATAATAATAATAATAATAATAATAATAATAATAATAATAATAATAATAATAATAATAATAATAATAATAATAGTAATAATAATAATAATGATAATAATAATAATACTAATAATAATAATAATAATAATAATAAGGGTAAATTACAAACACCCCCTGAGGTATGGTCAAATTACAAATTACACTACCTCTTGTTTGGATAATTACAACCACCCCCTCTTCTTTACAAATTAAGTGGAATCTTCGAGATATATATGGAATGTA